CACTTTTGTGTTAAAAATGGGAGTAGCGGGAAGGGGGCTGAGAATCTCATTGCCAAGGCTCCTCCCCGCTGCTGCTTCCAGGAGCTGGCTCTCATCTTCTCCTTCCAGAAACCTCTCCCAGGTAAGAATTTCTTTTCTCTTTCTCACCCCTGTGTCCCATTGCTTTGAACCCCTCTCCCATACATCTGCAATGAGTCTGTTAGCAGCAGGTTTCCTAATGTCTTCCCCATGCCGAAGTGTTTAACTTCCACACAGATGGCTCAACATGCTGGACCAGTACTTGGTTCACGGTAGGCTATGGCCTATTAATCAGGTCATGAAATGAATTTAGTGTGTCACGACCAGCATGACAGAACAAAAGTAGAATGGAATAGAGTAGAACAGAAGTACATAGCATAATACATTATGTAAGGATAGTTTTAAAATAAAACTAAATATATATAATTAGGTTTTATTACAAAATATATTTCTTATTGTGGCTCACTGACAGAAGAGTCCTAAATTCTTGCCTGGAGTTCTAGTTCTGCCTTGGATGCCTGGTCTTTGATGTTCTCCGCTATGAGGACCTTTTCTTACCTGCTCTCCACTTTAGTGACCATTCCTCCAAACATTTCTTAAATCTGGCCACCACACAAACAGATTCATCTTCAAAACATGCAATTTACATTGCATAACCAATAATATACTTTCTACTCTGAAATCTCTCCAATTTCCTTCTACTAGCTTATTTTTTTCAAGATTATTTCTTGAATCCAAACTTTCTGTTCTTCCATATTCCTGCTAGGACTGATTTAGCTCAATTTTAACTTCCCAGATGGTCTCTTTGTTAGCCTCCAGAATTACTCTCTTCAAGTTCCAAACTACTCATGGCAGTCTTAAACTTAAAAGTGTGATCAGGTTCCCCCTTGCCTAAACCCATGAAGCCCTTCTCAGCTTTACAGTTCATACTTTGTTTTTAGATACAGAGCGCCTTCAACTGAATTCTTCACTTCCTTATCTCTCCACGCTTCCAAATATAGACAGTTCATAGCTTCTTGCCCTGATTGTGACCCTATCCTGGGGATCCACCCCATCCGCTTCCCTTGATGAGGCAGCATCCCTACAGGCACTTCATACCCCTCTCATGGCCAGTTAGTCACAGGAAAGCCTTGATTCAAGGGCAGATCACAGGGATTGGCCAGCACTCTCTGAACAGTCTAGCCAGACTCCTCTTCTAGAAAACTGAAGGACTCTTCCCGGGAAGTTGTGGGAGCTACATATGAATGCTTCTGAAGTAGAAGCAGAAGAAACCAGAGGACAGAAAGAAGAACTCCGCAGGGACCACCATGTGACCCCAAGAGAGTAATAAAAGTAGCTATTTCAGTCCAGTGGCCACTTTCCAGTTCCTAGGCAGTCTGAGTACACAGGCGAGCCTGTTCCTGGGTCCCCTTGATCTAGGGATGGATACAACCAGCCCCACATTTGCTTGAGTGACCCTTTAAGGACTCTTTCCTTGAACCTAGAAAGAGCAGAGATAGGAACTTGCAGTTCACAAAACTTTTACTGTAGTTGAAACATGACTTTGTGCTTTTCACATAAAAAAATGTGTTACCAGGAATGCTCTATCTCTTTTTCCCTACATGGCACCTACCAACTTAGCCTTTTGTGAGTTCCAGCTCGTTCCAGTCCCTCCTCTGTATCCCTTTGCTCACTCCTTGTTATTGTAATACTTACCATTCTGTTTGGTAATTTGTTTAGGTTTCTGTATCTCTCGCTGGGCTCTCAGCTTCTTGGGGGACATTGTCACCACTTATTTATGTTCCTATCTCTGCAGTATGGGGGCGTGGAACAGATTCTTTCATTCTGTACTCACAGCTGACCTGGAGCTCAGCCACCTCCATGGACTTGCACTCTGCCTCACTTTCGGTGTGCCTGCCTGAGGGTGTTTCAGTCAGGTTAGAAGCACCCTGGGATTAATGTTCCAGGAGTGACGCTCAATCAATGTGAAGGGTCACTGGTGGATAAATACCCCAGCCTCCTAACCATCATGGGGTCCACTGAGATGTACACAGGACCTCGGAGTGTCCTTTGTGAATTTGAGCCCCAATGCAAGTACAGTTGGCTTTCTTCACTTTGTGCCTGATTTCCTCACTCTCATACCATGATTTCTAGGATCACCTCTTAAATAAACTCTTTGCACCCCAATAGGTACATCTCTCAGGGATTGCTTTTGGATGAGCCCAAACCAAGACAGTGAAACAAAGCACACTCTACTAGACAGAGAGCAAGTGAGCAGCTGAGGCCATCAGTCCTGCATGTCTCTTCCCACTGGCATAGAATATTACCCATTCTGTTACTTTCTTTCCGTTAGATAAGACCCCACAGATCCAAGCAAGCACATTGGCACCCTCACTTCCCTTGGCCACTGGTTGTTCAGCAGAGATTGAAGGAAACTCTCCTACCAGGTTGGTTGGGGCCACTTCACTTTTACTATTTTCAGAGCTCAAAGTAGCTTCTAAATGTTTTTACTTGCTCCCCATTCATTTCCTTCGGTAGTGACTATGCTACTTTTTGGCAAAATGCACTCTGCCCTTCTTCTTTCTCCCCCACTGGCCTCCCAGTATCTAGCATACACAAGTGAGTGCAATTAAATTCTAACACTTGATAGAAGGGTGGCCCAGATTCTGAGTAAAGGAAAACAAGCCCCAATAAAGTCCCTTGGTACAGCCAATTAGAGGGAGGGGACAGATGCCCATCTTCCAAGTACAGCCCTCAGGCAGTAAATATTTGGAACATGGCTACTGACCTGTCAAAATGCTCTGGACTGGCCAGAGGAAGAAGGCATCATGGTGATGCTGCAACAAAAGGACAACACTTAGGTAAATTCTATTATTAAGTTCATCTTTACAAATGAGGAAGTTGAGGCACAGAGAGGCTAAGTAACTTGCCCAAAGTCACATAATTGGTAAATGGCATCACCAGGGCCTGAACTCAGGCAATCTGGCTTCAAAGCTCATGAATTTAACTACTGCTATATGATGCTGCCTCTACTGATGTTTGAATACAAAATTATTGATAAATGACGGAAAAGTCAGCACAATATACCTATCACCTGCCTCCTATGGCTAGTATTCTTATAATAAATATCAAATTGATCACTAATACTTTTCAAACAATTCAGATATGATGTGATTATATATCCATATTAGTGGATATGAAACTAAAGTGAGAGTGTATTTTTTGTCAGTTGCTCTGTGGATGCCAGTCATGGCTAAAGATGAAGTGATGTAGTACAATGAACACAAAGTGAACTGCGGAATTCCAAACCATGGCTAATTACATGACAGCCATACCCTTGGCTGAAGACGGTATGGATGGAGTAGACAATGTTTCAGATCCTTTCCAACACTATGATTTTCTTTTTCTATCTTTGTATGGATAAGAAAAACTTGATTTCAAACATGCCTAGATTACACTTCAAACTCCACGGAGGTGGGTGACTGGATTCAGGGAGCATGGCCGTTGTGAGGACTAGTGTACACGCTGTGCTCTTTAGAACATCAGTAGCGGCATTTTGATAGGCGTAGAATCTCTGTGGCGACCATTTGAACTCTTTCAGATTGGCAAACTTTACCTAGAAAGTGCAGGAAGTGGCAGCCGGTTCTAACTTCAGAGTGCCTTTGACTACTGAAAAGAAGACACTGCTTAGTAAATCTCTCAGGATGGATTTGGGATTGCTACATATAGAAAGGATTAGCCCATCAGTGACCAGAGGATCAACAACACACAGTCTGAACTGCGGCTGGGTTCCAGCTCCTGTCACATGAGCGCTGCTCTGTCCTGCTGGCTAGTGCTCAGGCAAGCACCACACGTTACAAAGCAGAGAGAGGAATGGCCACTGCAGGGAAAAGTCCTAACGGGAACGGACCCCGCCCCCGGGGCAGCTGCGCCTGCACAGAAATAAGTTCCACCGAACTGACCAAGGCAAGAGAATCTCTAGCCTTTGGACTCTAAGAGTAGGGTTCAACCTGCCACTGATAAAACCTCTGGGGAGAGCTAGGAAGTACAGTTCACAAAAGAGTGTTTCAGAGGTATACACATAATAAGCTGGCAGGGTAAAAAGAAGAACGCAGATATTGACCTTGTTTTACCCTCTCCTTTCCGAACTGAACCCCAAAGACAGAGAGGATGGAGGTTTTCAGCAGAATCCTGGTTTAACTCCCCCTAATCTCCCTCCTCCCTTCACACACAGCCTTGAGCTCTGGGATACTGGCCTCTGGGCCTCAGGTGGCTGGTTCCTGAACCAGTGCCCCTGCAGGACAGAAGCCTCTTCTCGGGGTCTTCTTACAGGTCCCTCTATGAGTCTTACTGTAGTAGGTGCTCAATGAACGCTGAGTTGATCTGTGTGTGAACATGCATGTTTTGGGGGGATAACAATTTTTAGTGGTCCCATGGATATTAAGTCTCCAGTTTTCTGCTGAGAGCAACTGTGAAGCAAAGTGAGTAACTGTGTCAGCTCACACAGCCCCGGGGCTCCTCTCTTTCGTGCCATTTTAGAGGCGTTAATACAAATTTTCTTTCTGGAAGAGGCAAAGTAGAGAAGCCTGCTTCACGAGAGGGGCCACGCCGCAGGGGCGGTGCCCACTCCTCGCCCTCGTTTTGGGAGGGGACGAAATGAGAAAGCTTTTTGAGGTGTATCCAAGAGGTGACCCTTCCAAAAACTCTGAGAAAGTTTGCTCTGTGAAACGCCTCCTATCCCAGGCTGGTTCTGGGGGCCAGACGCAGCCAGAGCTGAGCGGAGTTCTGGGGCTCCGGTCCGCCCCTCGCCGCGCCCGCCCGCAGGCCGAGGCCGGGATGCGCAGCCTTGGGAGCGGGCGCGTTCACCCGCGCAGAGAGGAGCAGGACAACCAGGCAACCTGGCTGGCTCGCCGCCCCCAGACTCGACCCTTCCTCCTCCCCCTCGACCACCTTTCCGCTCCCGAGTGCCGATTCACCCGGTGCCCGGCCCTGGGGACACTCACCCTGCCATCCCAGGGTCCTCTCGGGGGTGAGTGTCGTCGCCTCGGGGTCTGCGCAGCCCCGCGGCGCCCCTAGCAGCAGCAACAGCGAAGACAGCAGCGGGAGCATCGCTAACCACTGGACTCACCGGAGCGGTGTGCGGCGCTCTCCCTGGACCAGAACCTCCACGGAAGCGCCCGGCCTGCTACGGGGAGGTGGGACCGCAGCCCCCTCCGCAGCTTCCCTCCCGCGTCCCGGGCACCTACTCCGCCACCCCGGTCCACAGCGTGCGCTCTTGGGACTCTGGGCCGGGAGACGGGAAAGTCGCAGCGTTTTCCCCGCCCTACCCACCCTGCCTTGGGTAAGGAGGAGGAAGAGGGAGTGGACCATCTGCGTGTCCCAGAAATTCCTGCCTTTGGGGTGGGGAGAGAGGAGGGGTGAGGCAGCCGGGTACAGGCTTCTGGGTAGCTTCTCCTCCTTTCTGTTCTCCTCCTTTTGGGAGAGGTCTACGAGGACCCCTGAGACCGGAAGTTTGACATCTGGGTTTGCAAATCCCTGGGTTCTGGTAAACACTGCGGGTTTGGCAGCGGACTGTTGGGAGTGAAAGAAGCTGCTCCGTGAACCCAAGTGCTTTGGGAGGCTCTGGACTCCGCTGGAATGTGGATCACTAGGACCGCCCGGGGCCCACCCTGGCCTCCTTCGTCCTTGCTCCAGAGTAACCCGAAAGTTCTTCCACGTTGAACTCCTTTCCGTTTTAAAATAGCCTCCTGCTCCCATCTTCTTAGATTTCCCGTATCCAGCAAAATGCCCCACCTCGTAGCTGAGAAACCCTGCCTGGAAAGGAGAAGTGATTCGCTCTAGGTTACGCCTTAACCCAACAAAAGTTACTCCCTGAACTACTAATAAGTAGGCAAACCCTGACTAGAATGTAGTTCTAATTGCAGCCTCCAATAACCGGCAGAGTACTAGAAGTATCTAACATGTATGGGAACAGGCTAAAGTCCTTTCCTAAACAGGACCTTGACACCAGGCATTAAAACATAAAAAGAGAAGGGGCCGGGGATTTAGCTCAGTGGTTTCGCTGCCTGGTGCGCAAGAGCAAGGACCTGAGTTCGACCCTTGGTACAAAAAAAAAACATAAAAAGAGGGAAAAAGCAAGTGAAAACTTTAAAAAAGAGAGAGAGAGAGAAAGATAGGTGGTGGGATTTTGGGTAACCAGTCTGCTTCTCTGTTAGCCTTTTTCAGTAACACTATTTCATCTTCAGAAATGTTCCCCAGAAAGCCCATCCTCAGAGGAGACGCCCAGCGGGGAGGAGGATTGAAAGTCAGAGTGAAATGGGAGGGAGGGAAAGTTATTGCCTTACAGCCCTGCAGGAACCTCAGAGGCCCTAGGATTGTCTGTCTGAGGACAAAGTGGAGAGCATTTGTCCACAGGACTCCTGACCCCCGTTGGTTAAGATCCAGGCTTCTAACCTCCTGGACACATTTCTGTGGCAGCGACGGGCTTGACAAAGGAGGCAGCAGGTGCATGGCCTAACAAAAGGTAAGGCTCTGTCAGGTTGCCCTGCAGGTGTTGGAGGGGCAGAAGAGACAGCTGAAAAAAGCCAGCTGCACAGAAGGCTGGAGTAAGAGGTGGGTTGACAGGACGTGAGAAGTCCCAATGCATGTACAGAATCTATAGCATATCATTATTTGCAGAAATCAGCATCCCTGCCAGAGAACATGAGAAAAAGGAAAGTTTCTAGCATACTGGACCATATAGATGTTAATCACAAACTATGTATCCTTTTCCCCTGTGGCCTCAGAACACACTGTGGAAATATCCCCATAGTGGAAGATTCAGTCCTGAGCAGGCCAGTACCTACAGAAGCAGGCAGGCACAACCCACGTGGTATAATGAGGTAATAGAGTTTGACATTGATTTTAATCTCCATTGACAGTGGGGGCAGTGAGAATGGAGAGGAGGGATACCAGAAGGAGCTAGAGTGGACGTGGAGGGTCAAATATGTGCAGATAGAGTGGTGGGTATTGGGAGGAAGTGGGTATTGGGCTGTTTGGGGGAGAAAGAAGTTCTGAGAAAAAACAAAGGTTGGAGGGGAAAGTGCTTGTATGGGAGTGAGATTGAGGAGGCCTGACTAGCTGGAAGGAAGGGCAGCCACTGGGGCATCCTGGGAAATGAGGCCGGTCACTGGGACACTGGCCACCGCACACTGCTGTGGGACCTGGGGAAGTGTTGCACCTGCTGAAGAATTCAGCTTTATCTCTCTATAATGAGAAGGGTTTGGGAAACAAAAAGGTTTCCTGGGCCCATGGCAGATAATATTCCGAACTAGCAGAGCTCTGACTATGAGTAGGATAAGGAGAGGGGAAACAGGCTGTATTTCATCTTCAGAGTAATTAGTGTAATGAAGAGAGGGGAAGACAGCCTCCTGGCCTACTGGCACCACATTTCCTATTCAACATTAGACCACTCAGAAAAGAGCTACCGTTTCTCATGTCTTTCTGAAGCATTGCAGCTTTGAGGTGGAAATCTGTGGTAGAGAGCCTTTTAACCTTTGAGAAAATAATCATTACCCTCATCCTTGTCTTCTATGGTTTTCAGTTTATGAGGCCCTGTAATATAAGGGTTAAAATAGGCCACATAGCTTACTAACACACTGCTTAGGTTCCCTTAGCCTTTGTCTCCCTCTGTGTAAAGTGAAGAAGATAATATTTGTTCACACACACACAAACACACACAGATGTTATTTGGCTTTAGAGGATATATTGCCATTTTCAATAACATGTAGGAAACTATAAGACATGTGAAATAAGCCACATGCAAAAAGAAAAATACTGTAAGATCTCATTTGTATGTGCATTTTTTTAAAAAGGTGAACAGAGTGGAAGGGTGATTATCAGGTGAAATAGGGATAAGTAGGTCAAAAGGTACAAGTCTGATTTGGGATAAGATAAACTTAAAAGATTTCATGTGCAGCATAAAGACTACAGTTAAGATTTCATTATATATTGAAAACTTGCTATGAGAGTAATGTTAGGTCTTCTCACTACCCATGCAATGGAAGATGACAGATACATTAATTTGTTTGATGGTAATAATCATTTCACTATATATATATTTATCAAAATATTGTATTACACACATTAAATAAATACAATAAAAATAAATTTTAAACTTCCAAAACATGCAACTACTGTATTAATTTCCTAGAGTTACTATAACAAAGTGCCACAAAAGAGGTGGCTTCAACAAAAGGAATTCATTTTCAGTTTTGTATGCCAGCAGTTCAAAATCAAGGTTGGTTCCTTCTTGAGGAGCTGAGGCAGTTTCTACCCCATGCTTCTCCCAGCTTCTGATGGTTGCTAGTAGTCCTTGGCATTACTTGACTTGTAGCTACATCATTACAATCTGTGCCTCTATCATCACATGGGCTTCTTCCCCATCTCTCTCTGTCTTTATTTGGCCTTCTTATAAAGCATTAGTCATTGCATTTAGGGCATACAGTAATCCAGTATGACCCCATCTTAGCTAATTACATCTTCAAAGTTCTATTTCTTTTTGAAAATTACATTCTGAGATTCCAGTGGACATGATTTTTTGGGGAACATTATTTGATCCCCAGCTATATGATACAGTCACTCCCACCTATGTATTTACCCAAGAAAAGTAAAAGCATACCTCCATACTAGATTTGTACATGAATTTTTTTTATTATTTAATTCTTTTATTGGTACATTGTAGGTATACAACACAATTACATTTCTCATTGGGAATTGTACCTTTACATAATGCATCTTGGTTCTTATTTT